CACAGTGTTGCTATAGGAACCAAAGCACAGTACCTTGACAACGGGGTTGTAGTTGTCCCAACAGCCCTACACAAACTTTACACTTCGAAACAGCAGCCAGCATGTCAGTCCAGCATGTCAGTGAATTGTGCTGATTAAATTAACATAGAATACAATCTCACAATATACATCACAAACAAATTACAATGTCGGGGAAATAAAAGAGTTACAGTAAGATAAGTTATGTAGTAACAGCTTAGAAGCTTGTCTAAGATAATAAAAATTTTACATGGCAAATACAATAATGAATGAACATAAATGCTAAGCATTCTAATTTGCTACAAGCTGGAGAAGGGTACAATAGACTGCACTTTCAGAAAAGCAAAAACACATATGACGAAGGAAGACAGACGGAGAATGCACATGGGCAGACCTGCAATGCGCAGCATACAAAACAGTTAAATATTTGCACATTCCCCGTACTCCAAGAGCACCAGCACTGAGGCCTCACTTTATGCTGCGGTTCTTCAGGAATAAGAAACTGCTGAGCAAGATAGGTCACTGCGTCGCCTTCAAGCGTTCCTAACGCCAAGAACTTGGAGTAGCAGGGAGCACTATCTTTCGTCCCTACCCCACCTTCCCCGACCTCTGCCCGAAAGGTGCCAGCATTCCAAATTCTTGTTCACAAGCTTTCAGAAAGCAATATGTCCCCAAAGAACAAGGCGGGATGGGGAGGAAAAGGAAACGTGTCTGCATATCAATAGTTTCAATGTTATAAGTACAGGGGCACGTTCGATAGTCTGTGGCAGCAGAAACTGAGCATGATCGGCAGGAGTAACAGACAGACGTTGTTTACTGAGGAATAAAACATGCCAGGGGCAGGTGACTTAAGGAAATGATGCAAGTGCTTTGTAAAAGGACAAATGAGGTCATGTGATATTACTATATTTCGAGAAGTGAGCTTAAGTGCCAACTCAGTCCTTGGACAAATGTTCACATCATCAGGCAAGGCTACTGCCACCATTTTTGCCACTTTCCTGTTGAAATGGAAGACCCAGTAATAATTTCAATACAATCCCCTAGCTGCATTTCTTTGCAGTTGTTGGCACTTGGCACAGGACTTCTCTCGTGGCTTAAAACTACAAAGTGATACTTTTTCCTTTCCCTAATGAGTGGGTAGAGGTCAATTCTTTAGAAAATGAGCAGATGGAAAGCAGCAGCTTCAGCTGTGTTGTTCGGATGACCAGGCTGCCTTCCTACTGAGGGGAGATGGACTTCCCCCAGACAATCCCTGCTTTCAGCTTATGCCTGTGCTGTGGCTCAGGAGGGCGTGCTTCGAGCAGCCTAGCTTTACAGGGCAAAGAAAGCAGCCTTGAATTTCAGGCCTAGGGTGATCATACCCTTTCAAACACCCCTGGGTCCTGCAGGGCTAACGTCCAGGAGAGGCCAGAATTTGACAAGCTCAGTACCACTGTGAGCCCACACCTGAATTTAGAACTTGGCTCGGGTGTCAGTGTCAGGACCCTGGCACATCAAATCAGGCCTGAGGACAAGGCTGGAGAGTATCGGATACCGTATGAAGCAAGCTGGTGTGCTCCTGAAAGGCTGAGCTGGTACTCAGGAAAACAACAAAGCTTCCCCACCGCCTTGCAAAGGACACCACCTGCAATCAGCCAGTGAAACGCAGAAACTGCCGGCCCCGACGCCAGTGTCCGCAGATGAACCTTTCCTGTCTCTTCCCCTTCTCCCCTTCCTTCCTTCTCTTTTCTATTCCATAAGGCCCATATTTTTCCTTTTTTTTTCTTTTTGAGGAGAGGATTGTCTACCAATGTCCCCATTCCAAGTGACAAAGAAAACCCTGCTCCTGTAAATTCTTGAATGAAATGGAGATTTTTATCTCTGATTTGAAGATACTATGAAAAAAGAGAGGGCTAAAGCAAGGTTACTTAACACTTTATTGTAACTGGCACAGTGGGACTTTTATTAATGGCTGATCTCAGAGGCAGATGTTTGCCTTTAAAATGGCATTCATGCTTCCTGCCATTAAATGGTCACAGAACCATCTTAGAAGATCTATGTGAATTCTCAAAACAAACTGACTCTCTCAGCTGTACTGGAAATTTACTATGTTAAACTCCTCAGCTTTCTAGAAGAGAAAAAGGGAAAAGTCTGGGTCTGTGTACAGTGGGTTCTATGCTGCTTGAGAGCCCAAAGAAAGGAGCTTCCTGTCCCGGCTGCAGGCAAGTGCTGCTCTCATTGTAGCTGATGATTCACTGTCCCCAGCAAGTGCAGTGACTTGTCAACTTTTAGTTTGGACCAACACATACGGATAGAAAACAAAAAGGAAATACATAACTTATACCTCACTATTTGTGAACCAAAAATAAATTCTATTTCTATGTTATATTTACACAATTAGAAAAATCTAAAATGAGATGGAAAAAGTCATAAAAACTTTGTTTAAGCCCCATTGAAAACAAAATGAAGTGATCCCTATGATTGTCATCCTTAATTTCCATGGATATTTAGAGCCAAACTTGGCTAATAAATAAAATAAACTGAGTATGCACAAAATTTAGATTCAAATACAGCATTACTATCTGAGCCAATGAAAGAGGCATTTACAATCAGATCGTTCCTGCATAGCCATTCATTTTTAAGAACATGGCTACGAGTTACTAAACCCCAGTACTGACGCAGAGCTGGAGCTAAAACAAAGTGTTCATACACACATGTATTTTGCATAAATAAATGAAATAACAAGACATAAAAATGACTCAAATCCGGCAACTGTGAGGCAAGCCCACACGAGTCGAAACAGATGACTTTTGTTCGTGTAGTTTTCGTACAACAGTTTCACATTAGTCAGAAGTGATAAAAAATACCATTTATATCCAGTGCTTATAACACTTACGAAACAACATCTGTGAGTGTGTTTTTTTTTTCTTCTTCTTACTACAAGCAAAATCAAGTTTCAGTCCTAAAGAACAGTCCTTTGTTCTCCAACAGCCCAGAATATTATTTTGGCATGGTCATAAAAACAAACAAAATTAACCTACTATGCTAAATGTTTGCCTTTGTGCAAAATTAATTACATACAATACAATGCTAGCCATACAACACTTTACCTATGCAACAAAATAAGAAGCAGTGAGAGAGCAAAAGCCAAAGAGAAAGAGAAAAAACATGAGACTGAACTGAGGAGGAGAGGTACATATTCAAAGAAATCAGCAAGACTCAATAAATACTCATTTTTTTTGAGAAGAATAACCTCCTCCTCACTTGAATTAAATGTACAAGAACAAACTTCCAATCCCCAACCAATATAAAGAACAAAACATTCCTATCAGTACCTTGAACAGCTTATAGAGAGCACTCCCAGCTAATGACACAGCTGGTGACATTTTGGCTAGACCTACTTATTGCTATTTAGGCATGGCCTGGAGCACTCTTTAAGTAAATATGAAGGTATACAATGTTCTTCGAAGTGACAAAATGGCTCAAGAAATCTGATGGGGCCGTTCCTATGTTCTGGTGATCAGGTTCTGGGTTGTCCCATGAGGCGAACTGTCCCATTACCTGACACTCTCCACTGAATCACTCTGGGTGAGTGAGGCTTCCCCCAGGCAATCAGTCCTGGGTTCAGGAAGATTACAATGGCACCCTAGAGCTCCCTGTAGTTAGGAGATGGGAAATGGAACCTCACTGCCTCCCAGCCCAGCAGCACGTCTCCGGAGCACTCCTTGAGTCAAAACTGCCATTCATCTCGTTTACATGTATGTAGGCTTGTCTGCTACACAGCCACAGACACAGGGAGCCAGCTGAAAGAGCTGGTATGCTACCCCAGGAGCTGTCCTTTGCCCAGGGTTAACAGTAGGAACATGCCGTATAGGGAATGTGCCCCCCCCTTTCCTTCCCTACGGTTCTCGCTTAGTCTCTGGATGTATCATGACTGTTTGCCTCCATCTTGGCTTTGAGGCTGTCATGTGGCTTCTTCTACCTGGGGATTTTGCAAAGAATTCCCAGGACCCACCAGCTGGGACAGGGCAGCGCAACGTCAAGGTGCCAGCCCATGACAGTTTCCCTGTTGGCTACTATGTGGCCCACAAGCCCTGGGCGTCTGTCTTGGCTACACAACTATCCTGCCTGGCAGTCAACCACTGTTGGCCTCTGCTGCTGAATGGAATTCAGGGGAAATGCCCCTGATGCTGATCAAACTGGATTGAGGGAGAAATTCTGGCAAAAGACTTGAGGTCATAGTGAACCTCAGGGCATACCTGTAGACCCAAGTGCACAGCCCTGCGACCAGATATATACTCATCTTAAAAAAAACAAAACATTAATACAGGTATTTAATATATCTCCTTTCAGAAATGCTTCCAGATGCTCTGGGGACATAAAATCACTATGTACATCTTTTGTATCTAGCCAGAGAAGGAGGTGAAAAAGGGGTGAAAAGTTCTTGAGGGAAGGAGGGTGAAAAACAAGAATTATTAAATTAATGCCACCAACAATTTGTTTTTAAATAAATAGTAAGTGGACCCTTGACATTCTGGAATGAATAAATTATTTAAGAGAAAATGTGTTAAGACTGAATGTCAGGGTTAAAGGCAAAGGGATAAAGGGTGTAGTGAGGGGCGGTCTCAGGAAGAGAAGACCACGTGTGGGGACGGCTCTGGTGTGGGGTGTCTACCACGTCACCGATGGCACACTGAGAGGCAAACACAATTGGGTGCATGCACTGTGGCAACCTTGTTCATTCCTTACAATATCTTGTCTCCAGATTCCTGAGTACTTTAGCATTTTCTGGGAAAAAAAAAAAAGTGTGGTTTGCTATTTTATTTTAAGATGCCAAAGATTGTCTAAGACTTTGCAGTGTCTCCTTTAAGACTTTCAAAATATTAAGATTCAAAAGTTATGAAAAAGTTTGGCACATTCAAAGTTTAACTTTACATGTGGAAAAAAAAATGGAATCCCGAGGCCTTTTTAATATGCTGTACATGCAGCTGCACACGCCGTGGACTTGTCCTGTTTCACAACGCGAAATCCTCAGTTGTTTTCTAAAGTAATTCAGAATAAAAACACATTCACAACCTGTAGGCCGGCACAGCATACCTGAGTGAGAATGTTTAACCCCATCTAAAACAGTAACTTAAACCTTTATCAACATCCAAAAGAAAAAAAAACAAGTAAGACAAAAATATAAGACTTGTACGACAGCTATGGGTTGAGATCAGTTTTCAAGTCCTGGTGTCTCATATTTAATATGTCTTCACCTAAATTAAAAAACAACAACAATAATAACGACAAAAAAACTCAAGTTCATGAAAAATCAGGGAAAACTTAATCTGTCTCACACTTTAGGAAACAATTAAGACCATTCTGCTGATGTGATCGTGGAGCCACAAATGCATGCGGGCTCTTTAAGAACTTTTTGTTGGGGAGGGGGGTGAAATGTCAGAGTACTTTAACTCAGCAAACAAAACTCCTCAGTTGGCACTGACAGCCTCCGGGGCTTCGTTTTCACTGCTATAGTCTGATTTGGGGTCGTCTTCATAGTCGTCGTACATTTCCATTTCGTCCTCTCCGTTCATCATTTCGGTTCCCGCGAGGCTTCCACCGTCCGTCTTCATTCCGTAAGTGCTCTGGATGACGGGCAGGCTGGGCTCCGGGCTGGCAGAGGTGCTAGAGCAGTCAGATGTCATCTGAGGTGACGGTGTGGTAGTTGCCATAGTAATAGCACCGGGATACACAACACCTGTTCCTGTGGTGATTGGAATCTGAGGCTGTTGCCTGTATGGATTCAAAACAGAATGAAACAGAGGGGAAATATCTTTAGATAATATCCCTACATATGTCCTTCAGTGTGAATAATAACTATAGGGGGCGATGCTAACTGAATGAGGTTCCACATATATTTACATTATGTATAAGTATAATTTTTTTTTCAGATGACGAATGTAAGGTTTCACTTCAGGCTCTGAACTCAATACAAGTAAAGCCAGATTCTGAAGCTATCTTGTCACCTGATTTGAATTCTATCATTCTTTCCATTGTCTCTATTCAATATACAGACCTACTAAGTCTGCTATATCTCAAAGGTCCATCAGCATGCAGGCAACGCTAAGCACCTGAAAGTGATATAGTTTCTGTGCCTCTTGTATTTAGTTTGACTGTCTAAAGTGACCAGCTAGATGGCAGAGGAATCTAAATCTATGTAAACGAATATCTTAGAGAAGACTGGTTTCCCTCTCATCAAATCAAATTCTAACAACAGTTAGAATACTTCTTGTTTCCTAAGCTTTGAGTAAATTAACACAAATTAAATTTCATGCTAACTTGCTTAAGGTAGTGAGTGTGTCATTAAATTTACAACTGAGCTTTCATAATTGCAATATAAATATTTTTACTTTATCATATTACAAAAGTAATTGTAAAAGCTTTTACGAAATTGTTACTTTTACTGCACCTTCAACCCATTTTACAGATTTCCCACTTTGGCAAGCTAACGTAAACTCTGCAGTCCAACCCAAACTATCAAATGGTACATTTTCCTTTCATAAAGAGCATTTCTTTTCACAAGAATAAATGCTTGTTTTTGAGGCATTTTTAAATTAAAATTCTATATTTACATGTCTATTAAGTAAATTAAATTGAGCTCTTACTATGTGCTGTACTTAAGACTCAGGTGCTTTCACTTTATCTTATTTTATCCTCTAATAAGCCTAAGGGTATCATCTCCCTAGTTTTACAGATGAAGTAATCAATTAAGGTTCAGGGAGTTTAAGTTGTTTGTGCAAGGCTACACAAGTTCCATAGGCAGATATCAAGATTGGGGTGAGAAAGGCCAGCTTAATCCATCAGGAAAGAAAAAACATAATAATTTAAATCAGAATCAAAATCTTCTAAGCTGGGCTTTACACATTTAAAATTTTTTGGACACTAAGTTGGTAATGAAAGGCAAAAAAGAAACAATCAAATAAAGCATCTGTACTCTTACTTTCTGGAGTGAAGTACGTATGATTAAAAAGTCAAAACAACCCTGTACTCTGGCGGTGGAAAGAAATGTCTGTTTTAAGCCCCTCAGTCACATCTGAAGTCTGAAATGGCAATGGTCCCATCCCAGAGGCTTCTTTCTCCCCATGTGGAGAAAATGATGGCAGTGCAGCTCTGCAGAGTACCACAGTCACCAACAACTCTTTCGGGTTGCATGTGAGTGCTAGAGTTGTTCCTGTAACAAGTGGTCTTTGTCTCGGGAAGGGAAGAGCTTTTCCAGGAAGAAGTTTATGTGACACAGGGAAGATATGGCAGGGTCCAGAGTCAGACTTGGGTTTCAATCCCAGTTCCACCAGTTAGTGGTTATGTGGCACTGGGCAGGCTAATTATCATCACCAGCATCCTCCCTCCTAACCTAAGCCTCAGAATTTAGAACAATCACATTTACTTGACAGGCTGTCGAGCAGATCAGGTAAGAACATACATGTAAAGCATTAGACATACAGTATAGGAAGCAGTGCTCTTCCCCTTTCCTTTTCCCCAGTGGTGAGTTGCTGTACACTTCAGAGACAGCAGGCATCCTCTGGGTCTTGGAGGACACCAAGGAGACGGCAAAGTGATGGGCTGGACTGACTGTGAACACTGCCTCATAGGAGCCATTTGGAGTCAGTGGCTACAACAGACTGTAGGACAATATTCTGGGTCCTGCGTGACCTACAGAGGCTTCTCTCTGGCCCAGAGCACCAAATTGGGAAAGTGTTATGTCTTCTGAACAATGACTCAAGAGAAAAAATCCTGGAAGACTAACATTTGGCCCTGCAAGATGTCTTTCTAACCCTAACTCCCGCCTTCTCCAGCTCCTGAAATCGTCCATGTGCCTCTGGAACCCAGACTTCAGGGCCCCATGCCACATCTTCTTGCTCCAACTGAGGCCTGGCCCTCTCTTTAGGACACTGCTCCACTGCCCGCCTCTTAAGAGTTGGCTGTGCGCTTTACACTTCTCACAGTAACAATGGAACTGGGGGCGGTTCCTTTTTAGCCTCTGGCTGCTCTTTCAAGCTACTTTTTATTGCTCCAGCCTAAGAAACCTCACCTTTGAATGTCATGTCGCTAGACTGTGCCACCCACTAGCACCGTTAACTTCGTTAACTTCGTTAACTTCGCAGTACCTGGGCATTCTTCCTGGTTGCTTAATGATGTCAGCTCTCGGCTCATTGTTGCCTTCACAAGTGTCACCTCTGCCATCCTTCTGGGTGAATTCACTATTCATGAAATGCTCGTCCTACCATCTTGCTACATATCTCAGTTCCTTGACCTCCCTGTGCTCTGTGATCCTCTGACCCCATCTCCATCTTAGTTGCTGACACTCTTGCACACGTCTGGCCTTATCATTTCCAACCGCTACCTACCTACCCCTTGTTTGTCTGATTTTAAATCGAACTCGGGAACTTGAGCTGGTGAGGCAGGCAGCAGAACCACTGAGCTAAATCCCTGGCCCCAAATGTGTAATGTGTTAAGAACTGGTTTTTGGGGAGGGATTGAACTTGAGTCCTTGCACTCGCAAGGCAGTGGCGGAACCACTGAGCTAAATCCCCGACCCTGATCTCCTTTCTGTTAAGTCCCAAAGTCAGTTCTTGGTCCTCATCTTACTTGACCTCTGCCATTTTGATCATTTTTCTCCTTGCTGAAACATTTTATTTCCTTCTCTTATAAAACATTATACCCTCCAACTTCTTGCTGTCTCATTACCTGTTCCTCCAATTCCCTTTGCTGTTTCCTTCTGAAATCTAAGTACTTAAGTACCCAAAGGCCCAGTCCATGCACATCTTCTCTTCTGTCTAAATTTATTCCCTTGTTGATTTTGTCCAGTTCTATGGCTTTAAATATTATCTATGTGCTGACAACTCCCAAATTTATATTTCTAGTATGTACCTGGAATCCAGGTTCAAACATACAACTTTTTTTTTTTTTTTTGTACCAGGGATTGAACTCAGTTCCTCGCACTTGCAAAGCAGGTGCCAGAACCACTTTGCTAAATCCCCAGCCCCTATATACAACTATTTTATGTCAGATACCACCTCTAACATCTAGGTGCAAAACTGAACTTGTGACTATTCTCCCACATAGCTATTCTTGCCATGACCATCCCGATTTCTCAAGCCAATCTTTTGCAATCACATTTCCTTTAAATCCAATACCCAATTTGTCAACTAATCCTATTGGTTGCCTCTCAGGGATATATCCAATATCTATCTACTTCCTACCACCTCCACCCCTCCATACCTGGCCCATAGTTAATTAGAGTTGCAGGCCACTCTCCCTTCAGGCAAGTCTCATACAGTGGACAGAGCAAAGCTCTCAAAACCTGGGTCATAGTACAGTACATGTCTGCTTATAAAGAAAGCCTCAATGTTTTTCCATGTCACTCAGGAACAAATTCAAAGCCTTCACAACAGCCTACAAGTCTTTTCACAGTTTGGCTCCCTGTAACTCTCTAACATCTATTAATCCTCCCATCTTCTCATCCTCCTTTTTTTCTGTCACCATGGCCTCTGCTTTCTCCTTGAATAAGACAGGCACAATCTGCTGTTTGTTCTGCCCACTTCTCTCAGGTATCCGCACAGCTTGCTCCCTCACCTACTTGGATTTTTTTTTCAAACAATTAAAGTAGGGTTTTCTGTGGCTACTGTATTTAAAATTATTATGCACCATCCTCTAAAACCTTCTGCCTCTTTCTCTACTTTGTTCTAAGGCATTTATCACTGGTTTATATTCATTTATTTGTTTATTGACTATTTGCCTAACTTCTATCACTAGAATGTAAACTTTAGGAGGGCAGGAATTTTTACTGCCATCACTAGCTCCAGAAGCTTCACTATGCCTGCAACGCAGGAGGCACTCAGTGAGTACCCCTTGGATACATGGAATGAGAGAATGAGAGGGAAAACCTGTGTCACCCATTTTAGAGGTGGATAGATATAGAGAGAGTGGGTGTGTGGGAGGAAGGTGGTGGAGAAGGGTATGAATATAACAATTGTCTCTAGAGGCTTGAATGATCGCCCTCATAAATAAGGGAAAGATTTGTTCTGGGAGAGACTAAAGAAGAGGACAAAAACTAGCCTACAAAGTAAAAAAGAGGCGGACTTATGACTCAGTGAAGAGTAAATGACTTTCTGGCATTAGACATGTTCCACAAAGGAACCACCTCCCATAAGAGTTGGGGAGTGTGCCAGCCCTAGAGGGCCGAAGAAGAACACAGAGGACTCTGGCAGTGGCCGGCTACTTGAAATACACAATGTCTGAGGCCTCTCTGAGGTTAAACTGATTCTGTGGATGCAAAATCATAAGCTCACTGTCATGCTGATCTCATTATCAGCCTAAGAAGAAACAGGAAACATTAAGTGAGTATACCTTCTTATACTTGAAGAAGCCTGGCTTTCAAGGCTTTCCAAAACATTGCTGAACTTTGCTTGTCTTACATTTTCTTTATTGCCAGGGAAAATTTCTAGGCTGGCCTCTCTCTTTTAAAATTGAACATTCGACCCTCCCCGCCACCACCACACACCCAAGATATTCATGCTCTGTTTATACTAAAATAGAAATCTACTTCCTGTTGACCTGACCTGCTCACAACTCGAGTTTCTCCTTAAAGAATACCCAAATGGTTGGTGGGTCCTAGTATATAATAATCTGTCTTCCTCTGAGTTTTACTTTCTCTTGTTCATAACATCAAGATTAGCATTTCATTATATATTATATGCACAGATTGTGTGTTCCATGTATGTGAGCATGCATGTGTGTGTAACAAACTATCATTTGCTAATTTAGTCATATACGTGTCTAGCTTCTTCAAATAAGACATTTTCTGAAAGCTTATGTGTACAGAAATAGTGCCTCATACTATATTAGTACAGTTCTGACTACCCAGCTGGTTTCAAATAGCCCCTTACCAATTGACTGGCTAATCAATGAACAGAGTGAAAAATCCAGACAGCAGGCTCAAGTTTTTTTTATCTATCAGGAATTACTTTCCTAAAAAGCATTTTTCCTTCCTTTACAGATCAATTTCAGAGTCGAAATTCAAACACTGCAGATTTCACAAATAGGAGTAGCTGGCAGGTATTAGGTTTTGAAAATAATGAATGTATACATCAAAAGAAAAGTTGTAGATGTTTGTAAAAGTGTATGCACGCAACCAATCTGAACAGAGATGGCCAAGGCCCCTTCCTCTCAGGACAAGTAAAGAGTATCAGCTGGCCTTGAGAGAGCTCAGCACTGCGGCAAGGTTTCCAAACTCACCTTTGTTAATTGCAAAAGGACTGCATATTTACGTCGGGAAAGTCCCATTGTTTGCTAACCCTTAAAACCCTATAGGCTGTATAAATGAAGGCAACACAGTTTGTTGCATGAGAAGATAGGCTGTATGTTTGCACATCTCTGCAGCTGATATTGCTGGAAGGAATGGAAATAATGACAATCTGCTGACTTTATTGAAGTTTATAATCCAGCTTCTTTTCAGGAGCACAACACTGAAAACAATATAGCTAGTTTATGTCATTCAATTACATTTGTAAGTATCTTATAGGCTTGATTCAATCTCTTTGGGATGAAGATCAAAATGGCAAATGTTCAAATCATTTATATCGTAAAGCCTAGAAAAGTAATTCTTATAATAAGAAATATACAGTTGGCACAAAGCATTATTTTTCTAGAATAATATTGACTTTGATTTGGGGCTTAACATGTGCCAGGCACTCGTTCTAAGCACTTTGCACATTAAGCTATTCATTCCTCAGAAAGGACTTTTGTTGGTGGTGCTATTGTCATTGTCATTGTTATTCTCACTCTACATATAAGAAAATGAAGGTGCAGCAAGTTTAAATAAATTTCCCAACGGAAAATGGAAGCTTTGGAGGAATAAAGACTGATATGTATTAGCTCCTATATGAAAGAAGGAGCAAAGCTAGTGTTTGAGCCAGAACAGTCTGGCTCTGGAACTGACACCTTTAACCACTATACTCTTCAGCTTCTAAGCCATTTGTAGACTCCAAATGAGAGGATTGTATAATGGTGTCACATTCGTGCTCAGTTCTGCCATTTACTTACTAGCTGTGTGACCTTAGACATACTACTTAACATCTCTGAACACTTCTTTTCCCCAACCCTAATGGGGAAGATGTTGCCCATCTTCTAAATTGGATGTATTTACAACAATCTATATAGCTCACTCAGCAGAGTACACAGCATACAGTAAGTATTCAATAATCTACCATTATTGTCTTAAAATAGCTTTAAATTTAATACTTTCAAATACCAGAATAATTTTGTTTTGGTTCACAGGGAAATTACTGAATGATCTTTGAAAAAAGAAAATATATTTGTCTGTAATTCTTTAGGAAAAGACATAATTGTGGCTACATGAATTCCAATATATAATTTCTATATTGATAGTACTCTTACTAGGATTGTTACAGAATTCTGATACTTAATCTGCAAACTGAAGGGGTTAAATCCAAGCTACAAGCTAACTGTACATTACTCCATATTATTGACAAATTCATTTCATAACAGCTAAGTAAAACATCTAACTCATCAGCTACAGTTGTGTAGTCAGTAAAATGCACAAAAATGTTGAGTAATGTGCAGTTTTACTGGCTTGAAAGTTATGCATGTCTTTCAAAATCAGCTATAAAAATTGATCTCACTCTCATTCCATCAAGAAGTCAATAGTAACCTTTGAATTTTTTGTTTGTGTTTCTCCTTGTTCCTCTTGTCATAACCTCACATCCAAGGAAGATCAATTTCCAAAGATGAACCTCAGAGAGTTAATAATCTATCAAATATAACTACTTAAAGAAAATATAAATCCACAAGTGGAAATAACACCTAGCTAGCTTTATGTCGCAAGTATTATTAAAACTGGGCAGAGGAAAGTCCTCAACATTGAAGAATAAAGAATAAGGCATTCTGCTCATTGCCTGTACTTCTATGGCACCATTCCACACTACACAGTGATCTTTCCATAATGGGCTCTTCTACTCTATGAGGAACAGCGTCCCTAGTCTCTGAATTTGAAGTTCCTTCATGTACCACATACCACAACAAGAAACCAAATTATCTCCAAAATTATCTCCAAGTTCTCTTGCTCAAATGGTCCAATTATACTCATGACTGTGCCAGAATGCACGACAAGGTGTGTGTGTGTGTGTGTGTGTGTGTGTGTGTGTGTGTGTTTGAGACAGGGTCTCACTATGTAGTTGAGACTGAAATCACTATTTAGCCCAGGCTGGTCTCGAACTCACAGCAATCTGCCTCAGCCTCCCGAGTGCTGGGACTACAGGCGTGTGCCACCACGCCTGGCAAGAGGGTATATTTTGAGAAAGCAGTGAAGACATTCCCTTTGTTGTTTAGGGTGGGTGATGGAAGCCAAGATCATGATTCCAGCCTTTGATTGTTACTACCAAAAGGGCACTCTGTATTGGTATTTTTAATAAATCTTCTAATTGACACATGAATAACCCAATTATATTATTGTATTTTTGTACTAAAAGTATTTTTGAAATGAATACACTTAAATACAGAGGAATGTGATATTCCTATTTTAGTATGCCTTCGCTTATTAACATATTGGGATCTTCAAATAATAAAATGGCTTAAGCCTCTCTTGATCCCTAAAAAGATTCAGCCATAGTATCAAGAAATTCATTACTATGTATCTAAGGTGACATGAAATTTCATAATTCTTATTTACTATGATAGTAAACACATATTAAATAGAAATGTTAATGCCGAAATTCACCTTTTTGGATTTTGAACTAAGCGCTATGTAAAGTATTTTTTGAAACATTGCCTCATTGAATCTTCATAACAATCATACAAGATAGGAGGTATAGTATTCATTTCATTTCACACATGAGAAAACAGAAGCTTATGGAAGTTCAATAACTTGGCCAAGTAGGTGTTCACACCAGTATCTTAACCCCAGTAGTCAAACTGCAAAACTCATGTCCTCCCTAAGATGCCAGGGCTCAAACTACTTTCACTGGTTTGCTGCTTTTTTTTTTATTCTATTTACTATTTCGAGTTAATTTTCTTCTTTTAAATACATGCTTCTGAAACCTTTTTTGTTCCACGGAGTTATCTTATAAGTATCTGTAAGCATAATAAGTAGCTTTTTACTTCCTCTTTAGGGAGTCTCTTTTTCTACCCATCAGTGAAGCTCTTCTTCCCTGGCACGGCGCAGCTCCTCCGCTCTGCTTCGTGTTAAAAGCAATCGTAGCTTCATTTTTGCTTACTCTGCTTCTCTTTCGCTAGCCTTTCCCAAGTGTCTCCCCCTCCGATCCCAGCTGCTTCTGCTGGTGCCTCCACAATGGCCCGCTGCTTTCCACCCCCCTGTGCTGCTAGGTCTGGGTGTGTTGGAATCTACAGGCATCTGCATCCCCACTTATCCTGACTACTGTGGTTAGGAGGGGCCTCTTTTGAATGCAGACAGCCAGTCAGCCAAGTCGAAATTTATACCAGAAATCTATTACCTAATTTTTAAACAAAATGACATGAAATCAGACTTGAAGATATCAAAAACATGTCTAGTTTCTGATTTAAGCAAGAAAATCCACATTGTTACTGTTTCCACCACAGAATAATTTACTGCAACAGGAGTTCTGGATCTTATGCCAACAATAAGGTCTCCTAACCAATGTCAAGGCCAATTATCTTGTGGTAGATCCCACAACAAAAGCAGACTATTGTGATTAGAGTCAGAAGCACCACCCAGAGAAGCTGGGGAGCTTCTGGGGATTTCTTAAAGTCAGTTTTCCCCTGCTGTGTGTCTATCTAAATAAACTACCAGCAACTCTGTGTGTGGGCACTGAGTATCTTAGATTATCGTGCAAGACAGTGGAAAAGGCAATCAGCTGGGAATGAGCTGTTGGGCTTCGTCCTGCAGAGTAGGAGCCACGACCCCACGGCGGCGACTGCAGACAATTCCACAGCCAACCCCTTCGAGCATGTCACAGCCTCCTCACTTCTCCAATCTCTTTCCCAAACATGCTGCCAGGAGCCACCTGCGGTTTTTTTTTTCCTGGGACTGGAAAGCCCAGTTGGCTCTGTCCAGGAATACATACCCCACAGTAAAGAACTGCCTCATTTCTTGTCGCCGAGACCGCATCAGTTGCTTATACTCCCCGATTCGGAGCTTTTTGCCATCAACAATGCAGGTGCGTTTCGGCCGGGGTTTGTATTTATAGTTCGGGTACTTCTCTAAGTGGATCTTGCTTAGCCGGGCCTGCTCTTCATAATAAGGTTGCTTCTCCTGGTTCGACATGGATTTCCAGCGAGATCCTAGACACAAAAATAGCCTTAGTATCTAAGTGATCAAGGCAATGTATCTCAGGCAACTAGATACGACTAGATTTACAACTACATGTACCTCCCCAGCACCTCATTCACCCTGACTCTAGCCAGCTTCTACCATCACATCCACTAAACCTCCCAACAGTCTTTTAGACAACAGAGTAAAAATAATTCTGCATACGATGCAGTTGTTGTATTATTTATTTCTCTCAATAATTTAAGGCTGATGATCCCCTTTTCTTTCAAAATGTATCTTTGCTACAAAAAGAGCATCTCCTACACTAAGGTGTTTCCCTGTTCGTCTGCTTTTCCCTTTCAAAAGAGTTCAAAGCCTAAACTTTAAGCATACTTATGAGAATGACAGGATTCTCGGGAGAAGCTCTACTGGTTCCAGAAATTCAATCATCTTCCACCGTCCAAGCATCTTTAGCAAAGGTGACTTTTGATAAGGTATCAGCAGATGTTGATATCCTTCCACACATAAAAAAATCTACTGCACACACCATCTCCCCTGGCCCAGGGTAATTAAAAAAAAAACTGAACTCTACTTAAGAAGTCATAACTTTAGAACCGGAAGGTACCGTTAGAATTATATATACCATTTTCAAGTACTATAAACTCCCATTCAAAGCTGTACCAATACAAGTACAAAAATCTTTAATATGGTTTACACAGGAAGAAGGAAAAGTATTCACTTCTCTAATATTGTTTATAAAGAACGATCTAAACACTTGACGAAGAAGGGATGTGTTTTTTTTTACATGTATCAAATTGCATTTTTGTGTCTCGCTGGTGAATAAAGCGGTAACAGCTGTGCAGACTGGATGTTAGCTATTCTTCGGTGGAGATTTTTCATACATAAACAAATGGAAAAGTTATACAAATATTCTACATAGCCAGCAATATCCCGGTCTGCTTTAATAGCACATCCATCCCTGCTCTTTCCTGATTGTTGTGCAAAAGTTGTGTGGAATAGCTATGCAGATAGGTTTCTCTGTGCTCTGCTGGCTCCCAGCAGCTTAAAGCCTAAAGTGACAGAGGATTGTCAGTACTCCTGAAATGCTCAGGCTTAAAAGGCTACATTTTAATGAATATACTTACTATATTCCTAATAATTTTTTCATGGATTGCACACCAATAATATAGATTCTCCATGGTTGCCAAAAGGCAAACAGAGGGGGTCTGTGCCCTTCTGAATGCTTAACGTGGCTACTAAACTGGCAGGAAACAAATGTGAAAATAGCAAAGTTACATATCAAATTATAAGGCCAGAATAGCATTGATTTTTTTTTTAGAATGTCTTTTAATTTGAAACAAATACAATCTGTCCATTAGGAACATCTTGGTTTAAATGGTATTTAATTTTTTAAAAAATCCCTGTGCATATCTTTGAAAATCCAAAAATAAAACTCCACTTAATTATAATGACATTTAGTATCCATTTTAAAACTCAAAAGTCAAAATGAAAAAAAGAAAGAAGGAAAAAGCTGCATTTTAGCATTTCACCACTATTTGATTCTATGTATGCTTTAAATTTTCTTAGAGGTCACTGCCTCAAAAATGTCTCAGAATCAAGTTAAATTATTTACATAGTGACAAAACATGTGTATTTGTGTGTGTCCAGATCACTGATATTTACTCAGGTTAAATATTTATTGCTTTTGAACAAAACATTTAAAAAATTAAAACCACAGTTTAAGTCTCTAATGTTTTTCAGCTTCTTAAACAGCTCTTTGTCACATCACGACAGCTTAAATAGAACAGTGCCTTCTGTGCTTTTTTTCTTTTTAAAGAGGAAAGATGTTGACTGTCATGTTGCATGTTGGATAAAATATGTTCAATATGTCGAGCACAATAATTCTAAACTGTATAATCTGTGCAAGGCAAGCTTTACGCTAATAGAACAAGGCTTGAATTTAACGCTGAGAAACTGGAGAATCACTCTGACAATTTACCACAAAATGGGCTTCTGCCTGTGGTCTGTGTTCAATGCAAGGCTGTGAAATTTGAACTCGTCATATCTCATTAAAGTAAGTGTAGCTTTATTTTACAAGTTTTAAACTTATCATTAGAGGCACTATTTTGCACTTCATTAATTTCACACCATTTTTGGGTTTACCCCTAGTCCTCGATGAATTCTTCTTTCAGGGGCACGTAGGAACCCAAGAATTCTAGAGCAGAAAACTGTGAGGGCAGTGAGTGTTCGCAAGGCTGTGTTGCAACTTACAAATTTTTTTTTTCAGTACTGGGAATCGAACTCAGGACCTTGCGCTTGTGAGGCAGGTGCAGCACCACTGAGCTAAATCCCCAGCCTGCAACTTACAAATTTTAAAAGACTAAATAAGGAAAGGTGATAAAGCTTGTCCCCAGGATGGCCGTTGAGCAGTGACCTCTTAAGAGTTGCTAAATTCACAATATAAACACATTATTATAGTTTGCCTCTGGAATCAGATTTTATTCAGTCTTGCTCTGCCAATAGTTTTGATTCCAAAATAAGTTTTTAAGCACCTTCCCTGGTATATGCAATAGCCCCTAACCCTAAGGGTGGAACTGTAGGATGCAAGGAGGGGTGATGACAAGGGCAGACAGTGGGGCTTTATCAAACTTCCCTCAAGCACAGTGGCCCTGCCCTTGCTTTCCACTCTTGAAACTCTCTGGGGGGAAAAGGTCAGCATTAGCCACGCCAACTGCACTCACCTAAGATTTTACTAATGTTGGAGTTGTGCATGTCGGGGAAGGCCTGAAGGATTTTCCTCCTCTCGTCCTTCGCCCAAACCATGAATGCATTCATTGGTCGCTTGATGTGTGGCTCACTGCTCGCCCGGCCGCGGGCATCCCTGTAGACTCGAGCTTCAGCCACAGTGGCACCTCCTGTTGGCCAACAATAATACTGCTGTAGTTTAGCTGCAGAGCCATTCATTGCTTTACTTCCTGTAATGTCAGAGCAGGAAGAACAAGATGGGTGTAAAGCATTATTATGTGGATAATGTAACAGCAGCTTCTGCCAGGTTCCGCTGCTTTCCCTAGGCCCCTCTCTTTTTTTTTCTCAGTGACCTTTTAAAAGCAAAAGACAGTTTCGGATGACAACTGTACATCCTTTCAGACAACAAAACACTTCAACAAGACACTGGGCAGAATTAGTGTTGTATGTCTTTATACACCTACTGCATTGACAACAATACATTTTGGTGGTGATAAAGAATGATTGGTATCATTCTACAGTAAACTTTCCTGCTGCGATTCCTTCCTTCAAAAGCAAGCTCTCACCTGTCATTTTATCTTTATTTGCCAAAAAAAGAAAAAAACAGTACTTTAAACCATACATTTCCCCCAAACAGAATTCTTTTTCACAATATTGTGCCTTGTCCTGTCCTCTTTCTATGGTTTGGAAGACTCTTCTCCTAAGACTTCTTATTAAGTCCTACTAATCCTTCGAGTCCTACTCATTTGTTAATGAATTATCAATTCAATGAAACATTTTAGCTGAGCTATTACTATGAGCTTAGGCCTGTCATGTGGTGCTAGGGATACAAAGGTCCAAAAGAGCTCATATCTCAGGAAGGAGACAGACCACTATAACAAAGTTGTGGTACTGAAGTTACCAGGGTGCCGAGAGAACACCAGACAGAATGACCAACCAATTCTTCCTCGCAGATGTGATGGCCCAGTTGAACCTCAAAGGATGAACAGGAATCAGCTAGTGAGTAGGAGAGGGGAGTAAAGACAGATGGGAAAGCTGCTCAGCCTAAAAGAACAGCATTTGCAAGATGCTTTCCAAGCTCCCCGTTTCCTTCAGGTTCTGTGCCCCAGCATGATTACTGTTTATAGGACTGTCTCCCTTTGATCTTTCTCCATCCCAGGAATATGCGACCCTAAAGTTAGACACTGTCTCGCACTCATCCTTGAATGCTCAAGACTTCCCGCAGAATGTCTGCTGAATATACATTAAGAGATTTTTTTGGTTTTCAACCCCTACACAAAAGTATTAGACTGAGAGTATTCATTTCAAGGGTCCTGATACATTTTTGTGTTGTATAAAAGATTTTCTTTAACCCCTATGAAACTATTTGTGATCTGGTAACACAGTAGATCGAAAGCTCTTCGAGGACAGAGCATGGGCCGAGTCTCATTCACTGCTGAACCCCTTGGATCCAGGGAATTCTCTGGCCCATGGAATTTTAGTTAGCAAAATTCATTTAGGAAATGAATGTAGTCTTTCCTTGTTTTCATGGCCCCCACAGTGTGACACACAGTATGCTTTGCCATGTGGCAAGTACTGAGTATTTTCCTATAGATTGAAATTTTCTACGGCAAGATGTGAAGCGATTGAACTGATGGCCTCAGCCGATGCTTCTAGTGTACAAACAAGAAAACCTACCCCTGGAAGTTTAGAAGCAAAATATACATTAAAGCCAACATTTTTATTTTTCGGACAAAGTGAATCCTTTCAGCTCAGTGAAGTAATACAAGAAAAACATGGCCCAATCCATCTCTGGCCCTTCTGTTCTATTTCCAGATACCTTGATTAAAAAGAAATTTGTTGGTGTCAAAGCCAGTAATGAATTAGAACATTAAAGGATGCCATTATTTGCCAAATATGGTCATTATTTATTGCCATATAATGACAGGATAAAAGGATGGAATTAACTAATATTGTGGTTTTTTTCCCCCAAAACATGAAGATGGGCAGAGAAAGCACTTTCTGAAGACCATGCAAAAATAACATGTTTCATAAACAGCCCTTCTTTTAGGCCTTCTAGACAGAATGATGCCTTACATGAGAAGTCTCAGATGCCAAGATGCATAACTAATATGCTACCTTTTTGCCACCATACCCACAGTACATTAATTTCATTTAAAATGCGCTGACCGTACAGGATAAATTGATTTCACTTTATATGGGTTTGACAGCCATGTTTATTGTGCAGTGAAATGTAGTGTAGCTTCCAGCTGACAATATCCATCAACACAGGGCAATATGCTGACTGCTGGGCCAGATGAAGGCGTACATTACTCTGGAAGTGAAACACTTATTCAGACACAACTGTGTCTTCTCCTGAGGATCACCACGGTAATTTATGATGCCCTCAGTGCCATTACTTTACAGCTGACATGGATTCAGCAATTTATATACTGGCCTGCACACACATAAAAGAAGACAGATTTGTGGAGAATGTCAGATGCAAAAATATTTCAATATTATTCTAAGTTAACTACTATGCCACAGGTGATTAACATTTTAAATCTGCCTTTGCTGTTGTAGCCTTCTCTCCACCTCTAGCAACACCAGTCAGCTTCAGTTTATTTCTTCATGTAAAATATGCATTTCATCATGAATGGGAAGTTTTAATCTCATGGATACTGATAGAAACCATGAGGATTTTTAGAGTCTAGCTGTAGTACAGAGAAATATTCAACATCCTCTACTCCATACTATTAGTTCTCCTAATATACTGTATGCCCAGTCTCTCTCACTCTCACGCTATGCCAGAAATCTAGAACCTTTTTACTCTTTGATTCACTAATTTCTCCCTTTTTCCAAGAGACAGCTCAGGTTTCACCTCCACCAATGGCCCAGCACTGGTCTTTTCCTTTCCCTACACAGCATTTATTATCTGCAGAACACTTAATTAACTACACAAAGGACTTCTTGGACTCACAGGGAATGCTTCTAGAAATTGGAATGTTCAAGCACAGTACATAGTACAAAAATGCAAGGTAAAAGGGGGAAAATAGCAAATGTTTTAGGGCATATGCCCACCTGTTACATCTCTCTCTCTGAAGGAGTACATCCTAAGTTAAACTTGGAACGTTTTAACAAGATTGAAAATAAGAGACTTATCTAGAGAGATCACATTTGGAAGCCACTTTTGTTGGACCTGATATCTGAGCAGACATCACTGGTAGCATTGACTTTTTTTTTTTTTTCAATTTTTTGAGGCAGGGTCTCCCTTTGTAATTCAGGCTGGCCCTTAATTCACTATGTAGCCCAGGCTAGCCTTGAACTCAAGGCGATCCTCCTGCCTCAGCCTCCCAAGTGCTGGAATTACAGGTGTGTGCCACCACACTCAGCTCACAGTTACTTTTAATATGACACAAATTTGCAGTATCCAGGACTTTTTGCAAAAAGCCTTTGCAAAGCTTAACTTGGAAAAGACTTGCCTCCACTTCACCTCCTTTCTTCCTTGTCTCCCAAATATGTGTTATCTGAAGGCACTTATGACTATATAAACTATGCCCAAAACATCATCTTCCTTAATTAGATAGTCAATAAAGAACAACAAATCTACTTTGCACATGAAAATTGACCTCTCACTCCTGCCTTAATAGCTAATACAAATGTTGTGGAAGGGAGATCTATCCCGTCCTGAATTTTCAATACCTGAGTTAATACTTAGGATTTAGGAATTCTTCTTTTTTGCAGTGACTGTGCAATATACACCTTCTGTGAAATTTAGGGAAACATCTCAATGAGTAGTACTATGCAGAACAATACTTTTCAGCAAATATTTCTTGAACTGAATCTTTTGCTAGAAAACATCTCTCAATATTACTTTCTTTCTCATTTAAAGATGCACCCATCGATTACTTGAACTTACAATCTAGGTGTCTAGGTTTGAGTTAAGTTCAGAGTCAGAATTTTAAGAAAATATGAAAGGCCACAAAGTCAAAAGAACATTTAGAAAGTGTCCCCCAACTTCCTGAATACATGCTTAATGAAACAAAATAGCTAGGGAATTATTATTTCAGCAGTAAAAATACCTATGACTGTATATGTGTGTATAAATTCAAAAACTTAAAAAATGGAAATTATATACTTTGAAAATTCCTGTAGGCAGATGGGAAAATTCTAATAGAATATTATAAGAATTCTATAATCAGTCACACATGTGTAAATACCAAATAGTTTCTCTGGTGTGAAAAACTATAATAGTACATAAGATCCTAATGAGATAATTGACCATGTGAAGTAGGAAGAAAAGGGCTAAAGGTGTAGGGAAAATGGCAAGGGTAGGGGAAAGGTAATAAGGGAAAAGAAAAAAATATGAGAAAATGAAAAAATGGACATAAAGTGTTTGGAAATGGGGAGGGTAGGAAGGGGTGAAGGGAGGGCAGGGACAAGGGGAAAAAATGAGAACCAAGACCTGTCATGTAAAGATACAGGATCCCGATAATGAATGTAACTGTACTGTATACCTAAAATGTACCAATAAACTCAATAAAAAAGAACTCTATAGACTATTATAAGATTTACTATTAATCCGTGTATTAACCACAAATTAACTTTGTTAAAATTAATTTTTAGAAATCTACATATCAAGTGTTACTTCATTATGCTCCATTCAGTTTTGAAAATAACAACATTAAGTGCATTTTAATAAGTATTTCATTGTTTTTATAGTGCTTGGGATTAAACTCAGGGTCTCATGCTTTCTATCACTGAGTTACACTCCCCCCGCCCAGCAACTTCGATCTTAAATAGCCAAGCTTCTATCAGAACCCAGAACTGAATTGTAATAGACAACAGTAAACTCTTCTACAAGGAAATTTCTTTTTAAGAGGAGAGCTTTACACAACTTCCCCCAGGAGGCTCAGATGGGTTAATTCAACCTTCATCTCCCAAATCAGTTTGTATAAATGCAAACTTTCAATTAAAGAAAAACAACTAATTGAGGAAGAAATAGAAATTGCCAAGACAAAGCCTTCCCTAAGAAACTGTGATTTGAATGATTTAGAGAAGACAGAAAATTGAGTTTTTCCAGGTGGGCTGGAAAGAAGGCCAGTTCACCATCAGAGCCAATGGCAATGGTCCTGAACTAATCCTAGAGAGGCCCTTTCCTGGGTAAATTCCAAGGGCTATCTGAGTGAATGAGTGAGTGTTTGGCATGGGTTTGTGCATATATAAAGTTTTCCCCCAGGAGGAACTCTGG